GCCACCAGGTTGACTTGGCTGGAGGAACTCAACCAGGAGTTCTTTCATTTCAAACTGGCTCTGCTCATCCTCTCCAGTTAGTGCAGGGGGATCAGCTCCCAGGAGCAAAATAATGGGGTCAAGGTGCTGAATTCCCTGGAATTCTGTCCTCCCTGTGCTCTTGGCTGTTCCCATCCTACTTTGGTTCTGATCCTGAGGTCCTGCCTGGGAGGAGTGAATGCATGTGACCCAGACAGCCCAATGCAGGCCTGGCAGGCATTGCATGAATCAGAGGGAAGGGCTTTGGGCTGAGGTTCCTGTCAGTAAGTGATCAAATGCTCAACCAGGACTGACTAAATGGAAAAGAATCCTGAGCTGTAAACTGGTGAAAATACTCTGCTCACACACGTGTTGGGGCAGTGTGGGGATTGGCTTGGCACAGCCAGGCTGCCTTCCCCCAGGGTTCATCAGCACCTTCAGCCCTGTGGGAGCCATGTGTTGGGATGCTTCCAACATCAGGAGCTGGTGAGAAGAACCCACACAAGAAGGAAGATTTCCTTCTCTTCTTTCTTTTTTTTTTTTTTTTTTTTCCCCCTCTTAATATTTGGAGTCTGTTTTGGGAACCCAACTCTGAAAAGCAACATATGTGCAGAAATGAAACTGAGCTCTGCTTTATCTTAATAGGGAGACTCCTCACTTTGGGGCCCCAACCTCATGCACTGTGGATGTCCTCCATACTGAGAGGCTTGAGGAGCCCTTTCTGATGGCACTCAGCTGTTACCTGGGAACTCCAAAGGATGGAAAAATGAGTGATGCTAGTAGATAGAGAGCAGGATGAGCTTCAGACTGAGGATGTGAAGTGTCCTTACATTGTTGCTTGTACCACGGCAGCCTGAAGGGAGGCACTAAGCTCACGTGGCACAAAGCTACCTTTATTCTGGTAAAACTGTGCAACAGCAGCTGCTTTGGTCTTAAAACCTGACGTTTTGAGTTTGGAGCAGGTGACCTCCACAGGTTCCTTCCAACCTAAACCATTCTCTGGTTCTGTGATCTACCAGTGCAGGAAGCCATGTGAAAACCAACACCAAGCAGGGCTGCCATGGAAGAGGAGCAAGCAGGTTGGTAAAACAGCAGAGTGGCCTCTCTGACCCACATTTGGTAGGGCTGGGAGATGGTTTGATATCCAGAAGCCATCGGATCACAACAGAATCAGTGCATCAGAGGGAAACTGAGATGTTTTTCTTGGATAAAGGCCCTGGGCTGGGTTTAAATGCATGGGGCAGCCTGATTTCAGTCCTTCCTGGGGGAGGTGATGGCTGGGGGGTTATCAGCATGCCCTGTGTTGGAGGAAGTGTGAAAAGTCAGTGCTGTGCACAATGCACTCATTCTCTCTCCTCACCCTGCAAATTTGTCGCTGTTGATTAAATCCCTTTTCAGAGCAGAGTGTTACAAGGCTCCTACACGCTTTCCCAGGCGAAGACCTCTCTGCTCCTTCTGCATTTTCATTCTCGTGTTGGCCTCTGCCCACTGAATAACAACAGTAATTGGATGTGTTTGAATAGTGCTGCTCATTGTTTGGCTGGTAATCAAACAAGTCTCCCATCCCCTGCAACCTGACCGTGGTGGAGGAAGTCCAGACACAGCACCTCCTTCTCCTCCTCTCTTCCCACCCACGTCCCCTTAACTCTCCATTTGTATACAGTGCAAATTGTGTTCTAACAGTAACAAGTTTCCTCTCCCTCTGTGACCACTGGGATCCTGGATGTCCACTGGGAGAAGCATGAGATGCTTATTTGTTAGGGCAGACTTGCAGGGGCTCAGATAGAACAATGAGGCTGGTCCTCTGTGCTGCATAGCTTCTTGGTGACCAGGCATGAAGCTGCTGGTGTGTGGAGATATATATAAATATAATCCATATATCCATATATAATATAATCTGTATATCCATATATTATATCCATATATCTACCCAGGAACAGAATGTATTGCTTTGGTGTGATGGTTCATGGAGATGCAGGAGGACCTCTATCCCAACTCTTTGCTCATATGTACGTTGGCACAGCTGCACGTGGAGGTGGGGGTCACCATCTCTGGAGGTGTTCAGAGCTATGGAGATGTGGCATTAAGGGATGTGGTCAGTGGGTATGGTGGGGTGGGTTGGGGTTGAACTTGGGGATGTGAAGGGCCTTTTCCAATATTAAGGATTCCATGTTTGTGAGAGGTGTGAAGGATTCCTGCCTGGCAGAGTGTGCTTGTGCTGGGCATCTCCACGGTCCTCCCTCTTCACTTCCATCCCTCACTAAAAAGGATTTAAAAACAAAAAATCACCAAGTAGGGCTTGGAAGCAGTAGCAAACACCCTGAATCACCAGTCAGGTGGAGGTACCAGATCTGTAACAACTACTTGCTGACAGCCCATTGGCCACATGTGTTCACATGAACTGTGCCACGTCTCTTTATTATGACTAATAGACACTCTTGCAGAAATCAGAATCTATTTCCAAGTGATTCATGAGAGTGTAGGAAAAGGAAGGAGGGGTGAACAACAGACTGAATGCACCTGGTAATTTATTTGCTATGAATAATTTGAACAGCCCCGAGTGACGGAGATATCTCAGTTATTTATCCTGGGGGTGAAATTTGCAGGTGCTGCAGACTGGGTGTGCTCCAAAGCAAGCCCTCTCTTAAACGTTTGCCTTCCCCCACCCCTGTATAAACCTCTGTGACTGAATCTGGAACAAGATATAAGGCATGTTTCATCCAAGTCTTTTGTTAATTGCAGTTTCTGGAATCTCCTGCTGGCGAAATTATTCCCCACAAAATCCCTATCTGGAGGGTTAGGAAAGGGTTAGCAACATGCCTTCCCATTTGGGGTAAGTGGCTGAAAATAAAGCTTGCTTTCATCTCCCAACCTTGTTAAGAGCCAGTAGCTGCTGGAGAGATGGGCTCCATGCACGTCGAGTGGGGAGCATTGCTCTGGTGTGGATGTGCCAAGTCCTGCCTTATAGGATGGACCTTGGAGGAGAACCTTTGGCTGCTCCTCTTGCCTGGGCAAGGGTGGTTGCCTTCAGGGGTGGTGAGAGAACAATATCTGGGCCCTGGCATGACTGCATCAGTTGCTACAAGGGCTCCTACAAAACTGATGCTTCCTATTTTATCATGTTGGCTCACAGCATCATAGGCAGGTGTTGGCAGTATGGCGGTAGGGGTTGCACCTTTCCACCCATATGTTAATCACTAGTGAAAATGCAGACCTAACGGTGGTGACTATGTGGAAAAACAGTGTTTTGCAGCTGAGAACTTGCTCTTTCAAATAGTGTTCTTTGTGGCTGTTGTCTTTTGCATGGAAATAAATAGGAGGCATTACTTGTGGAGCAAGCTACATAAATGCGGGCGATGACTCCTCCATATCTCACATTCTGTGTCACCATATTGTAACTGTAGGATTTTTGTCTGCTGGCACCACAGGATTCTGATGCATTTCATTATTTCTAGCGTTAAAATTCAGAGAGACTTTTCCATCAAATATCTGTGCATTTGTTTCCAGAAACAAATGATTAGCATTAGTATTCATTAGTATTCGTGTTAACAATTGATAAAGGACCCACTACTGTAGTATCTGAGCATAACACACAAAATTCAATTAAAAATATAATAATTTCCTCCAGCCATGATCATAGAATCTGTACCATCCCCCCCAAACTACTTCTTAAAACTTCCCCAAAGTTGGGTTTTTTTTTTTGCATGGGGATGTGTTTGCCAAGGAGGCTGAGGCTGGAGTCAGGATGCCACAGCATAATGAGTAGGGCTGGGCAGGGTGGGAGAGGGCACACAGAAAACAAGCCAGCACCACTTTTTGCAACACCAGATCCTGTTTCTAGTCGTTGTATCTATCTTGCAGCAGTTTTTCTGTCCAAATAAGGCTACGTCCTCCATCTAGGCTGGATCCCCAAGGCATTGGGGATCTTCTCTACTCAAGCACTTTGCTGATCTGCTTGATGTGTTTTGGAGTCCAGCAGTGATTTTTTTTCTTTCTTTCCCCTCTCTGCTGGCTCTGTACATCAGTTTCACATCCTGACTGGGCAGGAGGTTTGTATGATGCCCAGGTAGGATGCTCATGGCATGGCTGAGGGCCACAGCCCTGCTGCTCCGAAGGAGGAACAACTTCTGCAGCCCAAGAGTGAACGCTGGAGACCTCCCTTGTCACTGATGGGGACCCATCATCAGTGTCCCCACCAGAGTGTGGCAGCTGAGGCAACTGTCCTGTGTGAGCTCTGGGCATCGTTCTGACTGTTTAGATTTTGTTTCACCATTTCAGTCCAAAGCTGTGTTTGACAGATGGTATCTGCAGCCAGTGGTCTACTGAGGGTCTTGGATTTGAGGTGGATGAGCATCTACTGATCAGCTCTTATTGCCATGGAGCATCTCTGACTACTGTGGTCATCTCCAGCAATTTGGGATCTAAACAACACGTAAAACCTCCCTGACTGATCTGGGGGCTACCCAGGTTATTTTGGATCACACAGTGGATGATTTCTTCAGGGCTCTGATAGACAATGCTTGGCTATCAGTGTTCTTAGAGCCCAATCTTTGTACTGGGAGTGTGTCAACAAATGGCCTTTGGTGCTTACAGTATCCTAACCCACACCTGTAGCTTCACCTGGAGATGCTGAGAGCAGTTGTGTGAGTGGGGAAAAGAAATATGGAGTCTCTGTAACAAGAGAAATTTTTTGCTGTTTGGATCTTTGACAGGTCTTAAGTGCTATCTGCTCACAGCTTTGTGTTTGGATGAATATGTCCAACTGAAGTGCCACATCAGTGTGTGTGGGAAGAACCTGGTTCTTGTTTGATGCCTTGAAAAGGGTAGATGTGACACTTGGAAATGTGGTTTAGTGGGCATGGTGGTGATGGGCTGATGGTTGGGCTATGTGATCTTAGTGGTCTTTTCTAACATGAGTGACTCTGAGCTGGTGGGGAAGCAGCCCGTGGGAGGGACTGGAACTGGGTGGGCTGTAAGATTCCTTCCAACCCCAAATCATTCTGTGATTCTATGATGACTTAACTGCTTGAGAATAATAATGGGAAAACAACACTTCTGAGCATTTGTTTGCAGAACACAGCAGCTGGATGTGACAGAGCATCTCGTGTAGCTTTGGACTGATGTCAGTAACCCAGAAGTTCTACTGCTCAGCTCATCTCACAAGCTGAACCCTGGTGGTCAGTTCCCCCCCCACCTCAAGCCCTCATCCAGCCCCCTGGGTTTCTCCATGCCTAGAATGTCACTAAGGACAATCCTGCTTCCTGCAGCAGGGAGGAGGGCTGTGTTACCACCAATGGGGTGTCAGACTCCCAGCAAGGACTCAAGGTAAACAGTTCAGCTTTGGTGCTTTATTTGAAAGTTGCTGCTTGTGTTCCAGAGCTCGTGTGCCTGAGAGATTGTCTGTGATTTTATGTATCTTTCCTGGCTGTATCAGTTGCTCCAATAAAAGATACCCCTTTCCTTACCAGCCTGCTCTGCACTTTTGAGCTCAGATTGTTCATCCCTTACTCTGTGCTGCTGACAAGGACTGAGGCTTTCCAGCCACGGAATATCTGGGATGTCAGCTCTGTGCTGAGCACTGGGTTTACATGAGAGGCCACAGTGAATGTCCTTTCTATTTCAGAGAGGATCTCAACTCTCCCACCTGTTGTCTTTGATGCAGAGGAAGCACATGAAGACCCCCCCATTCCCTTCAGCAGGGACTGTGATTGAGGACTTTTGGAGCTTATCCCAGGCAGCTTTGGTGCTCTCTGCCCCTGTGGTGCTACACACTGCACTGGTAACCCAAGTGGTGCCCACTGGCTGTGGCTCAGAGCATTGGGGCCATACTAGTCCTTGCAGCCTGCTGTAATTCAGTTTAAAGTCATGTTGTAAGGCAGCCCTGTTGGGATATTCCCCCTCTCAGGGGCTGTCAGGAGACAGCAAGCTGCATTGGACTCATTCATGTGTCACCTTGTTCTGGTACAGCAATAGAGGTTCTCTGGGGTGATATCCTCTGGTCTGAAAACATGAATTGTTCTCCTTATTATGTTAAAAAAAAAAAAAAAAAAGAGGGCTGCAGAAGAAATAGAATCATCACCAAGTTTGGAAAATAATGAGCATATCACCTGTGGGAGAAGTGTTTGCTAAAAACACCCAGCACTGTAATAAGGGACAGGGTGCTCGCTGCCAATTGTGCAGCATCACAGCCGGGTGGAAAGAGCAGAATGAAAATGAAGTTTGGATGGGGCTGCAAACTCTTCAGCTTCAGAGTGTAAAGCTGATGCTCATTATTGGAGCTGAGAGGAATCTGTATTTTTTTGTAGTGATTATCCTCCTGGAGAATGTGGTTTCTTCCCACCTCCTGTTGGCTGGTGTGAGGATGAAGATTGGGGCTGATGGGGTCTGACACATCCATCCCCCTGCCTAAAGCATGAGGTGGTGACCTGCTCTCTTACACCTGCCTATAGAGAGGGCTGCACCCATGTAACTCTGTGTGCCCCCTTTTTTTATGAGTGTTGTTCCTCAAGGCTGGGAGGTGCTGAGCAAGAGTGAATGCATGTGCAAATATTTTACACACGAATATGAAGAAGTGTGTATATATTATGTGATGGCTTGTGAGGAAATGGATCTGTTTCAATATGTGGCACGTGTGTGAAGAAACTTGCTTATGCATTTGCATGTAAAGAAAAAATAATCAAATAGGGATGAAAACTGCCTCGATATTCAGCCTGGGCACCGAGCTCGTTCCATCCATAGGCACTGAGTGCTGCTGCCAGAGGGAATGGCAGCGGGGCTGTGACACAGGCAGCACCCGCTCTGAAAGGCTCTCCAAAATGCGCTCCTTTCGGTTTCAGATCCCCTCCTTTTGCCCAGTGCCCGAAGCACAGACAGGAAGTAAAGCATTCTTTCGTGATCCATTATCCTCCAGCAATTAAATTTTAGGTCTGGGCACTTTCAAGTTGGAACTGCTGTGCCACTTCGGGCCATTTCAGCAGTGCCCAACCGGGATTGCTGCGAGGAGGAGGAGGAGGATGAAGGCAGAAGCACCGCTCTGTTTGTGCCGCTGTCACATTTCAGGCTCCGCGATCCCCTCGAATTTAAAGTTACTCCGAATGAACTCCCACCGAGAATACAATTGTAACGTTTCCATATCAGCATCTTCTTATCTTTCTGCGTTACGATGATGTCATTCGTAATTGCGCTTTTCGTTTTGATGTTTAAACAATGTGGCATCGCCCTGGAAATCGCTGCTGCTTGCTGCGAAGTTCCCCAAAAGCCCCGAATCTCCGTGGGGGATGCAACAGGCGCTCTGCTGCCAGGAGAGGCGGGTTGTTACCAATGGGAGTGTTTAAGGATTGGGGCATCAGCACCTCGCAGGAAATCTTCCTTTTCCTCTCTCTCTTTCTCTCTTTTAACTTCTATAGGATGGTGATGAACACCACCCAACCCGAAACGCCCCGAGCTCCCGATCGGAGCGATGCATCGCGGCGAAGGTAGCAGCCAATGGAAGCTGATCTGCCTGTTTTTTATCGTTAATATTGCGAAGCTCGGGAAGACTTTTTGGGAGCGGGCAGAGCCATCGCTCCCCTCCGAACGAGCCGGATTTTGGCAAACAGCGCCAGGTTTCCCTGGTTCAATTTGCACATGGGATGACAAATGATGTATATATTCCGCTTCCCCCCCCCCCCCTTGCCCCCATTCCTCGAAGTATCCGAGAATAAGCAATGAAAACAAAGGTAGTTTTGTATTTTAAACGGAGGAGGGGAAAACACGATACACGAGGGCTGCTCCCACGGGTGGGTGGGGGGGCGGGGGGGGGAAAGCAGTTCCCATTCGCGTCGCCCTCACATACCATCCCTGATCCCTCCCCGTCGGGGCCACGTGTGGCACGGAGCTGCCCGAAGGGGTAACGTTGTGGGCACTCCTAAGGGGGGAAATCCGGGGGGAAGGGGCCTCTGCAACCCCCTTTTTTTGTCGCGGGTCCTCGAGAGTGTCTGCTGGGATGCTGGGGGAGAAGCTTGTGGGACTTCACCTTGAGAAGGGGTTGGAGGGGTTTCCCCGTGGGTTTCCCCCGTACCGGGGGTTAAGAAAGGGGGGAGCCCGAACCGCAGCCCCCGCTTTATGGGAATGGGGCTGAGAAATTTCCAGTGCATTTCTAAACGCAACGAAAAAAGCCGCTGGAACGATGCGGGTGGTGGCAACCACAAAGTCTCCCGTCCCGCCGGCCTCGTCCAGGTGAACGGTCTCTAAACCGTGTCCCCATCTTCTTTCTCCTCCTTCTCTTCCTCCTCCTCTTCCTCTTCCTCCTCCTCCCCGGTCCCGCACGCACACGGGGAAATGAAAGTCATTTATTGAGAGCGGGAAGGAGGGAAAAAAAAAAAAAAAAAGAAAAAAAAAGAAAAAGCAGGAAATAACCGAGGGTGGTTGATGATATTGTTATCATTATCGTTGTTGTTATTCTTATTACTATTCCGGGGTAGCGAACAACCGCCAATGGCAGAGCGGGGGCCGCTCCGGCGGGAGCCGAAGTTGCCTCCGGGGGTCGGCGGGGGGAGCGCAGAGGTTGAGGGCTGCGGATCCCACCGCCGGCCCCGTCCGAGCCCCCCGCCCGGCCCGCATCTCGTTTCTTCCCCCGTTAGCCGTAGAGCGGCCGGAAAGCTCCGCACCGGGGCAAGGGGCGACCCGACAGGGACAGTTCGGAGCAGGTTTGTTAACCGAGCAGGTGCTCAAAACCAATAAGCCACGAACAAACGCGGCCCCCGTCGGGATTCGGAACAATTGTTTCCATTTAATAAATATTTTCCCTACGGGCGTTTAGAGGGAGGCAGGCAATTATTCAAAGCGAGCCGGGACGCGGGCCGGCTCCCGAGGTTAAGCGGGGCTGCGGAGCGGGGGAATTGGCAGCGGGGAACGGACTCGGCCCTGCGGAGCGCGGTGCTCTCAGCCCCGACGGCGTCGGAGGGTCTCGGGACCCCGGCACCCTCGGTCCCCGCATCCCGGGGGTCCCGGTGCCTTCCCCCCACCCCGCTCCGCTCGCTGTTAGCGCGGCAACTCACAAAGCCTTCCCTTTAATCTGCGCGCTGGTGGAAGGGCGCGGGGAGGGGGGGTCCTCCTTTCCCCTCCTTTCTTCCTCCTCCTCCGCCCTCCCCTGTCCCCTCCCCTCCTCTTCCTCTCGCCCTTCCTCTCTCCCTCTCTTTTTAAGCTGGTCCCCCTCCGCGCTGATTGGGCGCCCAGCCGCGCTGTGAACGCCCTGCCACTATGTCAGCCCGCTCGCCGCAGCCCCTCGCCTTTGAACTGCCCCGCGCCGCTCCGCGTCCCCACCGCCGGCCCGCAGCTGTGCCCGGCGGCTCGCCGCCCGCCTAGCCGCCCGCCGGGCCCCGCGGGCCGCCCCGCGTTTCCCCGCGGGCCGCTCCGCTCCGCACCGCTCCGCGCCTCCCCGCGCCCCGCCCCGGCGCGGCTCCCGGCGGGGACGGCGTCGGCGGAGGACTGTGATGATCAGCTGAGCCCGCGCCTGGAGCTCCTCCGGCTGCCCCGGCCGCCTCTTCTTCCTCCTCCTCCTCCTCTTCCTCCTCGCGGTGCCCGCAGAGCGCCCCGCACCGCCGCGTCCCGCCGCCCGCCCGTCCGCCCGCAGCATGTCCAAACCCAGCGATCACATCAAGCGCCCCATGAACGCCTTCATGGTTTGGTCCCGCGGCCAGCGGCGCAAGATGGCCCAGGAGAACCCCAAAATGCACAACTCGGAAATCAGCAAGCGGCTGGGAGCGGAGTGGAAGCTGCTCTCCGAAGCGGAGAAGCGGCCCTACATCGACGAGGCCAAGCGGCTGCGGGCGCAGCACATGAAGGAACACCCCGACTACAAGTACCGGCCCCGGCGCAAGCCCAAGAACCTGCTCAAAAAGGACAGGTATGTCTTCCCTTTGCCTTACCTGGGGGAAACAGATCCCTTAAAGGCCGCCGGGCTTCCCGTGGGGGCCACTGACTCGCTGCTGAGCTCCCCGGAGAAGGCCAGGGCTTTCCTGCCCCCCACCTCAGCACCTTACTCCTTACTTGACCCCAGCCAATTCAGCTCCAGCGCCATTCAGAAGATGACCGAGGTTCCTCACACCTTGGCCACCGGCACCCTGCCCTACGCCTCCACCTTGGGATACCAGAACGGGGCGTTCGGCAGCCTGAGCTGCCCCAGCCAACACACCCACACCCACCCCTCGCCGACCAACCCGGGCTACGTGGTGCCGTGTAACTGTACCGCTTGGTCGGCCTCCAGTTTGCAGCCTCCGGTTGCCTACATATTATTCCCGGGCATGACCAAGACTGGCATAGACCCCTATTCTTCAGCACACGCGACTGCTATGTAACACCCGCCCACAACCCTACGGGCGGCCCCCACCTCGGGGAGCCGGCCGGACCGGGATTCCTCCGTGTGCATGTATATAAAACCCCGCCGGAGCCTCCCGAAGCCAGGACTCTGCAGCCCGGACAGCCGCGGATGCGCCCGGGGGGGGGAAGCGGAGATGCTGGGAGTTGCCCCAGGGCCCCGGGGTGGGGGTGGGAGGGGTGTAGAACCTGCAACAGCGGGAACGGATAGGATCCAGGCATCGAGTTGTAAATGTGTTTTAAAACGAAACAGGAAAAAAAAAAAAACAAAAAACAAAAACAGATAAAAAAAAAAAAGAAAACAACAAACAAACAACTCAGAAAATACGAAAAAAAAAAAAGAAAGAAAAAAAAAAAGGAAAAAAAAAAAGAAAAGAAGCGCGAACCTCGAACTGCCCCTCTGGGACAAAGAGGGGGGAAAAAAATAAGAGAGAGGCGGTGATTTTTATTTATTCCCTGAACGTCTCTGAGTTCTCCATGGTCTCACGGCACTTGGATGTGACTTTGGGATGTCCCGGTCCTGCTCTGATGATTTTTTTTTTTTGGGGGGGGGGAGGTTGTTTTCCTTTTGCACATTGAAAGACGAGAGCGGCTGTGTTATATATATAAATCTCTATATATTTTGCCACCACGCACTACTCGGGAAAATAAGAAATTGCTTTTCGTGTCGGGAAAAGGCTCTTCAAAGTTAAAAAAGAAAAAAAAAGAAAAAAAAAGCAAAACAGAGGGAGAGAAGCATTTATATTTAAAACATATGATAGTGTTTGCTTAATTTAAAACAGATAGTCCTTAAATTTGTGTGATCCAGTGAGATTAGATCTAAGTTTACTTTAGGCAGAGCGTCAGGTATGAAGTCAGGCGGTAGAATTGTACAAAACAAATGAACGATGCTGATACTAATACTACTAATTACGGAAAAGCGAATAATAATAATAAAAATGATGGTCATTTAAATACGTTTTCGCGATGTCTTGGGAAGGAAAAACAAAAGCTTGTGTATCCGGTAGGGTTTTACCTCGTCGAACCTTTTCGTTGGTTGAACAAAGCCGTTCGGAATGAAGGCAATCCGGCGTTGTTCGCTTCTCGGTGTGAACGCGGTGCCCGTCCCGCAACTCCGAACCCCGACGGTGCGCACCGGGTGGCTCCGCACCGCCCCGCACCGCGTCCCGCACCGCTGCGGGCTCCGCTCGGAACCCCTCGGGGAAAACCGGCGGCTGCGGGAGGAGGATACGTGCAAACAACGAGGGGGGGAGGGGGGGGTCGGAGGGGGTGCATCCCCTCCCCTCCCCTCCCATCGGGGAAAAGTGAGCTTTGCGAAGTTACCTCCGCGGCGCTGAAGTTGTTTTGTTTTTTTTACCGGTGCGACGATTCTCTTTCTCTCTCTCTCTCTCTCTTTTTTCTTTTTTTCTTTTAATTCTTTTTAATTGAATTTTTGGAAGTCGGGGTGGGAATTAACATCGTGCCGGGGGACAATTAGCGGTGTCCGGGCGCTATTCACGGGGTCTTTTGTGTAGGGAGGGTCTGTGCGCGGAGGGACGGAGGCGAGGAGGAGCGCGGGGTCCGTCTGCGGGAGCTGAATAGCGGAGCGCGGCGTGTTTGGATGTGCTTTGCTCATTAAGTGCTCTTTGGAGACCGATGTTAGAATTAAACGGCATAACACAATTAACATACATGGGGCTTGAATGGGAGGGTAAGCAGGGGAAGAATAGATAGATAAATAAATGAGAGATCAGGCGAAGGTAAACAAAAGGGGAGAGGAGAAAAGGGCTGAAAGGAGAGGTTAGAATGGCTGCTCCAGCCTTGTTTAGCATGACAAAACGGCTCTTACAAATGAGGACAATTAAAGGAGCTGGCTTCGGGAGGGCCTGGGAGCAGCGGGCCGATCCGCTGGGACACGCGGGCTGAATGCGGCCGGCGTGGGGCAGGGAGCGCGGCGCCGGGAGCGCCGGGCGCTGATGTAACCCCAGCTGACAGGAGCTGTCAGTCTCGGTGATAACACCGATAGCTCAGTGTCCTTTAACATCTACCCAGATTAGTTTGACAATGGTCGGAGGTAGCGCGGGGGGGAAGCGGCTGCCCGCGGCCGCCGGGCCCCGAGGGAGCAGCCGGGGGGGGGCACCGCGTCAGTCCCAGCGGAGAACTCCGCTGCCGACCAAGTAGGAGCCCCCCGACCCTGACAGGGATGGGCCAAGCCGGGCCGAGGGTGCGCGTCGGGGCCGGGAACGGGCACGTCAGGGCCGGGGCAAAACCAGGGCGATGTGGGCTGGAAACTTTAGCGAGGAGCTTCTTTCCTTCTTTTCTCTTTCCTTTCCTTTCTTTTCTTTTCTTTTCTTTTCTTCTCATTCTTTTTTTTTTTTTCCCTCTTTCTTTCCTTCCTTCCTTCTTTCCTTCCTTCTTTCCTTCCTTCTTTCCTTCCTTCCTTCTTTCCTTCCTTCCTTCTTTCCTTCCTTCCTTCTTTCCTTCCTTCCTTCTTTCTTTCCTTCCTTTCCTCCTTCCTTTCCTCCTTCCTTTCCTCCTTCCTTCCTTCCTTCCTTCCTTCCTTCCTTCCTTCCTTCCTTCCTTCCTTCCTTCCTTCCTTCTCTCTCCTTCTCTCTCCTTCTCTCTCCTTCTCTCTCCTTCTCTCTCCTTCTCTCTCCTTCTCTCTCCTTCTCTTCTTCTCTCTCTCCCTTCCTTCTCTCTCCTCCTTTCCCTCATTTTTACTCCTCTCTGCTTTTCTTCCTCTTCCCATTCCCCTTCTGCCCCCCCTTATCTCTCCCCCTCCTCCCCTTTCTCACTCTCCCTTCCTCACCCTCTCACCTCCCTTCTGCCCCTCCGCAGCCTCGCAGCGCTGCACTGCCATTCCCCCAGCGCTGTTATTGGAGCTATTCCTCCAGCTCGCTCGCCCGTCTGCAGGTGTGTAGCTATTTAACTCGTGGAGGTAAATAAATTAAATAATGATCTTGACACTGCAATGAACCGATTGCTGACTTTGATGTCAAAGGGAAACCTTAAAAAAAAAAAAAAGAAAGAAAGGAGAAAGGAGAAAGAGAGAGAGAGAGAGAAAAAAAAAAAAAGCTATTCCCTCGAGGGAGAAACATAGCTTCTCGTTAAACCTGTTTCCCCACAACTGTCTCTTTCTTTCAATAAAATCATTACACAAAGGCCGCGAGGTTATGCGCACCACGCCTTGGGTGCGCGGTCGGGCGCTGTCCCGGGCCGGGCTGAGCATCGCAGCTTCTCCCGCTGCCGCGCAGCGCCGCGCAGCGCCCAACCCCGGAGCCCCGGAGCGGCTCCGCACAGCTCCCCGTCCCGCACAGCTCCCATTCATTGCTCTGCTCCCTCTCCTCCTCTTCTTTTCTTTTCTTTTCTTTTCTTTTCTTTTCTTTTCTTTTCTTTTCTTTTCTTTTCTTTTCTTTTCTTTTCTTTTCCTTTTTTTCTCTTCTCTTCTCTTCTCTTCTCTTCTCTTCTCTTCTCTTCTCTTCTCTTCTCTTCTCTTCTCTCTCTCTTCTCTTCTTTCTTTTTTCTCTTCTCCTTCTCCTTCTCCTTCTCCTTCTCCTTCTCCTTCTCCTTCTCCTTCTCCTTCTCCTTCTCCTTCTCCTTCTCCTTCTCCTCTTTCTCCTTCTCCTTCCCCTTTTTCTCCACCCCCATTCGAGCTGCTCCCCAGACCACCGAGGCCGTTAAGAGCATCCCATCCCTCTCGGGCTTCCATTAACCAAAGTACCAAACAGGAGGGAGAGTGCAGACAGCGGGAGCAGAGGGAAGCATTCGGGCCCGAAGCTGCAGCCCAGGTGCAGCCGTGCAATCGCTGCTGAGGGAGAGACAAAGACGGAGGGTGGGGGGAAATTGTGTGATGTTAAAAAACTTTATTTTAAAGGACACATTAAGCTTACAGAAGTCTCTGAGAGATATTACTTATTTCTGCTTATTAGTGATAATAGCCCAGTAAATTTGCTATTGAGTGTATCAAAGGCATTCAAAGCGACTTTGGAACATCAAAAAGATTGCTAGGCTGATTTTACGGTTTCCTTCCAGGCCCGACCTCCCGGCTACATGCCGCGATTGTAGCGTTTAACGGTGAGCACCGATCGGCCCCGCTCCGTTCCGCCGCCCGCCCCGACGGCCGCGCTGCCCCGACCCACGCGTGGGGCTCCGGGGTTCGGTGAAGAGGCAGCGAGAAAAGGGGTGACGGGGTGGGGGGAGACGCGTCCCACGCCGCTCAGGCGACAAAACGAAAATAAATTTCAAAACGGGGGAGAAAAAAAATCCAAAGTGCTGAAAATTTCGCTTAGCGAGCTGCGTGCGGCGCGGTGCGCTCCGCGGGCGCGGAGGGGACGGACTGTGAGCTGCTCCCACCTCGCGGAGCGGCATCCCCTGCCCTGCCGGCCTTTGATGTGCTGTAATTGAGCCCTTTCTCCTTCAGCCCTTCATTTTGCCTTCCCCGCTTCTCTCTCCTCTGTTCCAGTTGGGGTGTTCTATATAAACATCAAAAGGACAACGCAGCATCCCTCCCTCTCTTCCCCCCCCCCCCCCCCCCCCCTCCGCCCTCCTCACTTTTTTTTTTTTTTTTTAATTTATATTAGGACAAATAGCGAAATGCTTCATTTATTCATTGTGAACTACAGACGAAATAAGGCGCGGGGTCTGTGCAGGTCCGCACGGCAACATGCAAACATGTGTACGCTCAAAGCCCGGCATTAAATCCCGGTTGATCCCAATTTAAAACGGAGAGCGAGGGAGAGGGAAGCGGCTCTTTGAGTGTGAGAGAGAAAGAGGGGCCGAGATGAGGAGCTGGTAATTATTGAAATATAAGGGTGAGATTAATTCAAAGGAAACAAACTATGAAAACAATTGGAGCCGAGTGAAAAGCAAAACCCAGATTAGAATTTGCTCGTGGTTTGTTGTCTGTCTGCTTTCTTTCCTCCTCCCCACCCATTGTCACAGTGCAAGGCAATGGGATTTGCACACTTGAGGTGTAATAGCATTACTGCATTAATTAAAATTTTCATTTCACGTCCAGATTGTTTACTTATCTGCTGGAAACATATGTCGGGAGAAGTTGAGATTCTGGATTCTGCTCCGCTGCCCAAGGTGCAGCGCAGTACAGGGGGGGAGAGGATGGCTTCAGATTTTTTTTCTCGCCGCATCCTCCAGCCTTATCTCGGCGCTGTAAATTATAAGGAGACTCCATTGAACTGAATATGAAGATTATATTTGCGAGCGGCGCGTCCTAAAGCGGCCCCGGTCCCGCTTGGAAATGAACCGCTCCGCTTCTTGCCCAGCTCCGTGCCCACCC